TAAGCCTAGGAATGATTAAGGTGGTTTGAAGGTTAAAGGCAAGATGGAGATCGGTTAGACCAGATTTCTTTCACTGTCATAATTTTCTCACTTAAATTATTGCAAAGTGATTTCACGAACCCAACTTGATCAATAATAGGTGTGCTCCTGTTGGTCTTTGACCGGAGGGCATTAACAGAGGGATTCTTGCACCAGCTCCTGGCCAGTGCTGCTGCAGAGCAGTGCTCTTCCATGAACAGCTGGTTCCCAGTCCAAGGCAAGTGTAGAAACTGGGAGTTATCACAGTCTTCACCATGACCATGATATTTCAATAAAGAAAGAGTTTGACATGATGCTGACCATGACATGTGGGAGACAGTTATTACTCAAAGCAATTGCCTTGAAAATCTGGAGAATTTTAGAAGTCAGAAGAATTGACAACAACTTGACAAAGTAATTTTATGTCTGTTGGTTGGATCTAAAAATAGAACGTTGGGCTTGTGTTTCCATATGCCAATTGTTTAAATTTAATTTTGCTACTAAGTTTTAATTCTATCTTACAGGTGACCTGCAATAGATTAAAAAAGAAACTGTCTCCTCATCAGAAATGGTTTGAGAAGCACTGTCCTAAACGGTGTCCTAACACTGTCCTATTCTCTAAAGCTCTTCCTTCCAACACTGCTATTACATTAAGATTCTTAAGATTCTGCTTTTAATATGTAACATTCTTTCTTAAGCATCTTTAACATTACAATCTCCTCTGTTTTCTACTTGAAGATGGAGAAAACTAATATATTTTGAGTACCTGCCATATGCTATAAATTGTGCAAATCTAAACATCCTCCAATACCCATGATTTTAAAAATATTTCATTAAATTTTATTTTGTATGTGTATTTAAGGCATATAGCATAATGTTGTAGGATACATATAGATAGTAATATGGTTACTATAGTGAGACTAATTAAAATATCAATCATCTCATGCAGTTACCCATTTGTGTGTATGTTTATATGTGTGTCATGAGGAGCTAAAATCTCATTTAGCAGAATTCCAAAATAAAGTACAATTTTATTAACTATAGACTTCATGTTGTACATTAACTAGATTTGTTCACCCTAGGTATCTGCTACTTTGTAACCTCTAACCTTCATGTCTCCATTTCCTCCCTCCTCCCAACCCCTTGCACTTCCCCTGGTAACCACAACCACAATTTTATTCTCTATCTCTGCATATTTGTCTTTTTTTTTCCCCTAAGATTCCACATGTAAGTAAAATTTACAGTGGTGGAGGGTGTCAATGCCTAAAGGGTCAAAGACCAAGAGCAATGACTGGATTACAGAATGAAAAGGATTTCATGAACAACTGGCTTAAAAAAGAAAAAGGAGGGCCGGTGGGGTGGTAGCTCACACTTGTTATCCCAGCACTCTGTGAGGCTGAGGCGGGCGGATCACAAGGTCAGGAGTTCAAGACCAGCCTGACCAACATGGAAAAACCCCATCTCTACTAAAAATACAAAATTAGCCAGGCGTGGTGGCGCATGCCTGTAATCCCAGCTACTCAGGAGACTGAGGCAGGAGAATCACTTGAACCCGGGAGGTGGAGGTTGTGGTGAGCAAAGATCACACAAATGTACTCCAGTCAGGATGACAAAGAGTAAAAGTCCATCTCAAAGAGAAAAAAAAAAAAAAAAAAAAAAAAAAGGAAGAAATCCAAGAAGACATCAACACTTCCACCATTTATGTCTTCAGGTCTTGACAGGGGTCTGCTAGTCCACCCCGTTAGCAGCAGTGAATCTGAATCCATTTGGGTCTGCAGCAACCTCAATTCTTGCCTCCCCAGAACAAAGAATTTGACCAAGGGGCATAAGGCAGATGGATAGATTGAGGCAGGTTTTAAAGCAGGAGTGAAAGTTTATTAAAAAGCTTTAGAGCAGGAACAAAAGGAACTAAAGCATCTCAGAAGAGGGCCAAGCAGGAGACTCGAGAGATCAAATGTGTAGTTTGACCTTCGACTTGGGGTCTTATACACTGGCATCTGCATGTACAGTGACCTACCAGCACTTGAAAGGAGCCGCTTATGCACCGTTTACTGGAGTTGCATGCATGCTCACTTGAGGTGTACTTCCCTAACCAGTTGAGTGTTCCTAGAAGGTCTTATACCACTTGAACTCTGCCATTTTGCTGCTAAGTAAGCATGCATGAACCCACTTGCCCAACTCCACTGGGAAGCTGCTGATCACCAGTTTCAGGTGTTTCTATCTATTGGGAGACTGCCTTTCCCTGGTGTTGGCTGCAACAAATTGTTATTTTAGAGAGGCAGTTTAACAACTGATGGTTACCAGACATTTCTGGTGAAGAGTGGAGGGGGTTATGTGCCTCTCCTGCCCTGCTCATGTCTGCCTGGCTACCTACTGCAACAAGCCTTGGATCCAGGTCATTTGGGCTCCTCAAGGACGAAAACCAGAGTTTGCTTTGGCAAATGTTTCCATGATACAAGCCAACTTTTTCTTTGACCTTTTTGTGTTTCTGCTTTCACTTACTTTTTAGACTCTTAAAAAATCCTAACTTCCTCATCAATCTATTGAAGTCTTCTTCATTAAATGTCATTTTATATTTTACTTTATCCAATACTTTTATGCATTTTCACTGTGAGTAGGCCAAGAAAAATGGCTCGCTGACTGGTAGTTTTATTTACTGTTCATTTAATTTTGCTGTTTGCATTTCAAAAATGTTTTCTTTATTTAGTGTGTTAAAGCGGACTAAATATGGCCTGAGAAGGACTCCACACTTTTTTTTTTTTTTTTTTTTTTTTTGAGACAGAGTTTTGCTCTTATTGCTCAGGCTGGAGTGCAAAGGTGCGAGCTCAACTCACCACAACCTCTGCTTCCCAGGTTCAAGATTCTCCTGTCTCAGCCTCCCGAGTAGCTGGGATTACAGGCATGTGCCACCATGCCTGGCTAATTTTGTATTTTTAGTAGAGATGGGGTTTCTCCAAGTTGGTCAGGCTGGTCTCGAACTCCCAACCTCAGGTGATCCACCCTCCTTGGCCTACCAAAGTGCTGGGATTCCAGGCATGTGCCACCACATCTGGCTAATTTTGTATTTTTAGTAGAGATGAGGTTTCTCCATGTTGGTCAGGCTAGTCTCAAACTCCCAACCTCAGGTGGTCTGCCTGCCTTGGCCTCCCAAAGTGCTGGGATTACAGGTATGAGCCACTATACCCTGCCAGGAAGGACTCTACACTTTTATATTTGAGTCCTTGTGGATGAACTCAATAGGTAGGGTGAACTCAGTACCTAACTTAATAGGTAGGCAAGATTGAAAACCTAACTTAGGAATATGTGCCTGTAACAATCACTGAGTCTTGGCCAATCCCAGCAGCCATACTTCAACAAGTCATATACTGCTGAGTGTTCAAATAAGGCAAATGCTGAGCTGTAACCAATCCAGCTGTTTCTGTAGCTCACTTCCAATTTCTGTACATCACATTACATTTTTGTCTATAAATTTGTTCTGACCACGAGGCACCCCTATGACAGAAGTACTGTCAGAGGTGTTTGAACCAGAGTAATTCCATTTTAAATAGGGGCTTGATAAAATAATGCTAAGACCTGCTGGGCTACGTTCCCAGTAAGTTAAGGCATTCTTAGTCACAGGATGAGACAGGAGGTCAGCACAAGATATAGGTCATAAAGACCTTGCTAATAAAACGGTTTGCAGAAAAGAACCCTGTTAAATCCCACCAAAACCAAGATGGCGATGAGAGTGACCTCTGGTCGTTCTCACTTCTACACTCCCACCAGCACCATGACACTTTACAAATGCCATGGCCATGTCAGGAAGTTACCTTATATGGTCTAAAAAGGGAAGGCATGAATAATCCACCCTTTGCTTAGCATATAATCAAGAAATAACCATAAAACATGGGCAACCAGCAGCCTTTGGGGCTGTTATGTCTATGGAGTAGCCATTCTCTATTCCTTTATTTTCTTTGAATCTCTTTGGATTTTGGCTAGAAGTCCAAGGCACTATTCACTGCACCACAGAGCCTTCTTGCTATTTCATTACTTCCTTAATAAACTTGCTTTCACTTTACCATATGGATTTGCCTCAAATTCTTTTTTGTGTGAGATCCAGGAACCCTCTCTGGAGTCTTGATCGGGACCCCTTTCCAGTAACAGTACTATTATTATCCTTATATTACAGTTGAAGAAATGGAAGTTCCAAGAAGCTAAGGGACTTTGGTTTGTAGATAGAGGAAAGGACAGATTGAAGGTCAGGCTGTCAGGTGGCACAGCAAATGTTTAACTAGGAAGATATGCAGGCATGCATCTCTGGGGTCAGCATACACTTGTGTCTCTTGATTTGGTTCTGGGTTTGCTGTTGTTTTTGGCAGCTGGATGGACACTAAGGACACCCTTGTCAATTGAACCCTATGTTACCTTCCATAAGAGGACGTAAATGTGTGGTTTGTGCTCCACAGTTTGAAGTGGCAGAAATGAGATCAGAAGCCTTATCTTCCAACACTTATCAAGTGTCTATATACCATACTACACGGCTTCCTTAATACTCAAGTCAGACATTTTGTTGGCATTTTATACACTATCTGAGCAAACTGATATGGGAGATATATAGATCGAATTATTTATATAGAAATTCAGCAAGCTGAAAATTGTTCTCACCCTAGGTCAGTTTGTTACTGTAACATTTATAATGTACAACAAGCAATAAAACAAGACAATACAAAACAAAGTAATTTGAACAGCATGAACCCTGAAAGAAGTAACAGATGTCCAGTTAGAGTCTATTATAATGCCACCATTATTAGAGCCACTCTACCTTTCTAATATGCCAGGGGGCCATGTGAACTAACAGGTTTAGCAAGGAAAAAAAATGTTTTAAGTCTAAGTAAAAAACTTCCTCCATCTGGTAAGGCATACTGATCTTCTGTGAACAGGTACAATAAAATATAATGTAAATAAAAACCAAGGCTTCCCTGAATGAGAATGCAAATTATCACCTCCCATACTCAGCTCATCTCACCAGTCTCTTGTGTCTCGGGCACCAGCAAGCCACATGTTGGTCCCTTCCAACAAGGCTACACAGGAAGACATGTCTCTGGATGATCTCGACCCACCTAGATTTCTTACAGAATGCACTGAGAATATGACATCTGGAGATAGGCGTTGCAGGCTATGTTCTCCAACACTTGAGCTCAGCAAGCCTTGTGGCACCCAGGATATGAAAGCCCAAGGTGGACTGCTTTCAGTGTCCTTAGCTGTAGTGTGACACGAGGTCTGTGCAGACAAGACTCCACCCACCCTGGGCAGCTTTCCTAAGCTCTGGAGGACCAGCTTGTCATGGATCCTAGGCTTTGGTTTATTCTTGATGCTTATCTGTGAGTAATACATCTGTTTGCCTAATTTGGTTGTATGAGTGTTCTCCCTTGCCAGACTCATACAAGTGGTATAAAACCTTTGCAGGCTAACACTTATTAATAAGAGTGAAGATCAGGCCTTGAAACAGATTCAAATCAGGGCACATTACCTCTGCAACCAGGGTACTCAGATGTTCTAGCTAAGTAAGTACTCCACTTACTCGAGGTTTCACAAGAAAGGAAACCTGCCATGTTCACCTTTGTCTGCCTACCACCTAGCACAGCCCTAATGCATACTGGGAGGACAATAACTATCATTGGAATGCTATCACCGTTAGATAATAAAGGACTCAATGAGTTAATGGATGTCATGGTGACTAAAAATCAGGGATAGAATGGTTCACATGCAACGTATCCCTCCTGTAGTCACAGACAACGTCTATGTGGAAACACCAGAAGATTTCAGTTCATCTCAAACTCCAGATAAGTCACTAGTGAGATATGGCTGATAAAAATGATGGCATAACCTTAAGATTGACTTAACAAGAGCATGGTGCTCAGAAGAAAGAAGGTTAATAGGGGAGTCTTCACTTCTGTATCACTTCCAGGCATTCTAAATATTGTGCTCAATCTAATGGGAGCTGGTCCTTCTTTCGTCCTTTCTCTTCACATTGTTTTTCTTATACTTCGAAGAAGACTTTCCATCCCATCTTTTATCTCTCTACCATCCTTGGAGTTCTTTCTGGTTCTACAATACCAGTCCCCACAATCAACTTGTTTCTGTTTCCCCTAGAATCCCTATTACGATGTTATTGCACTTACATTTTGCCTAATATTTTAGCTATTTATATACACATCTTCTTTAACATTGCAAAGCACTGCTCAAAGGAAAGCGATTTTCATTATCCTTTGTTAGATTGTTTCATATTACTTCTCTTTGCATCATTAGATTGTAACCTCTGCATTTATTTGTAAATTACACATTGCCCTAGCTAGTTGTTCTGAACAAAGAACAAATGTTGCTGATCTGGTGATCTATAAGCCACAATAAGAGGAAGCTTACATGCTAGGAAGGAAGAAGAACATACACTCCAAGCCAGGAGTGAGGTTTTGAAACATCCCTTAGTACATAGCTACACACATATATTTTCTGGTTACCTTATTTGCATGTCCACAGCTCAATAAGTAACTCAGGATATAAACAGATAATTCCCAGGAGAGGAAATTAAAATGGCGAATAAACATAGGCAAAGATATTCCATCTCAGTGATTAAGAAGGTAAATTTAAATTAAAACAAAATGAGATGCTGTCATTTGCCCAACACATCAGCAAAAACAGTGTCATTACATTTATATTAGTAAAAATCAGAGATAACTGAAGTATCTGTCAAAAGTGAGATGCTGAAATAAATTACATCCATACTCTGTATACTATGTAGCCATCACAATGAAGTATATCCATTTGGGCATATATATGGAAAAATGATTATGACATATGGTCAAATTTTTATAAAGCAAGTTGCAAAGCACTGTGTTAAAAGTCCTGTATTTTGAGGAGAAAAACCCATATGTTCTTTGTTTCTATGTACATATAAATACATATTCAAATTACTATATAATTGTAGGTGCAAAACCTAAAACTAAAGCAAAGACACAAATGAAAACAAAGGTCTGAAAAGAAAAACATTCAAGTGCTAAATGTGGTTACCCCTAGGAAAGTAAAACAGAAAGGATTTTTTATTTTTACTTTAGGTACTTCTGTACATTGTTTAAGTTTTTTCAATACTAAATTAATATTTTTGACTTTCTTTGAAATGAAAAATAAAATCAATAAAATTTGTGGACATAAAAGTAGTTATAAAATGTTTGTTCTAGAAAACAGTGATCCAACTTCAGGAACTGCATGCATGAATAGTCTAAGTATTCTTCAGAACTCTATGCTCACAAAATTATTCACACGTATTTGTGTCAGTTACAGAAATCTGAAGCCCTATGTGGTAGCCTAGGACAATCTGGCCTAGACTACGTAGCCATCACAATGAAGCATATCCAGTTGTGTATATATCTATGGAAAAATTACTATGACATGTTGTCAATTTTTTTTAAAAAGCGGCAACCCTTCTAGCCTAGAAGAATTGTTTCCACATTGTAGATGAGGCAAGAAAGAAACCAAAAGAAAACAAAACATTTAACACTCTATGTAAATTGACAACCCAGGGACAGGGCCCTCAGAAACAATTTACCTAATTATTGTTTTATGTTAGGGACCAGAAATTCAAAATGCAAGTACCAGAAAAAAAGAAGCAGCCGGAAATAAAACAATAAGCATCAGAAGGACTGTACAGAGTTCATATACTGCCTAAAGGGAGCAGCCATGTCATTATTCCTGATGAGAGGATGGGTCTGGTATTACCAGATCATTCAGTGTTTCAAGAGAAATCGGGAATTAGGATTTTTTTTTTTTTTTTTTTTTTTGGAGACAGCATCTCTGTCACCCAGGCTGGAGTACAGTGGCGTGATCTCAGTCCACTGTAACCTCTCAGCTCACTGCAACCCTGCTGCCTGGGTTCAGATGATTATCCTGCCTCAGCCCCCTGAGTAGCTGGGATTACAGGTGCAAGCCACCGTGTCCAGGTAATTTTTGTGGGTTTCACCATCTTGGCCAGGCTGGTCGTGAACTCCTGACCTTGTGATCCATCCACCTCAACCTCCCCAAGTGCTTGGATTACAGGCGTGAGCAACCACGCCCAGCCAGGAATTAGGATTTTTGTACCAATACTCTCAGGTTTTAAATTTTAGCAACCAATTTTTTAAAATCCTAAATGCTGTGTTGATAAACACTGTGAAAGCCAAACAAAACTTATCTCCCGGCTGGATTTTGCCTGCAGCCTCCTGTTTGCCATTTTGGGGTTTTCCCATCCTTGCAGCTAGAATTACTGGACAAATTCTAACACAGCACCCCCAACCTTTTTGGCACCAGGGACCACTTTTGTGGAAGACTATTTTTCCATGGTGGTGAGAGATGGTTTCCGAATGAAACTATTCACCTCAAATCAGGCATTAGATTCCCATAAGGAGCACACAGCCTAGATCCCTTGTATGTGCAGTTCACAATAGGGTTTGCGCTTCTATGAGAATCTAATGCTGCAGCTGATCTGACAGGAGTGGGAGCTCAGGCGGTAACGGCTTGCCGCTGCCACCTCCGGCTGTGCCGGCCAGTTCCTGACAGGCCCAGAACGAGTGATGGTCTGCAGCCCAGGGATTGCAGACCCCTATTTTAACATATCCTTCAAGACTCAGATCAATTCCCTCTTCTTACACTAGCCCTTTGCCTGCGGTATTACAGAATATTAGAATTCTAAAGTGAGCAGATCACCCGAGCTCAAGCGTTCAAGACCAGCCTGGGCAACATGGGGAAACCCCATGTCTACCAATAATAATTATATATATACACACACATAGAGTTCAAAGTATTTTAGAAATATGTCAAATTTCTTATTTTTTATTGTAATAAAATATAACATACAATTTGCCATATTAACCAATTTTAAGTCCACAACTTAGTGGCATTAATTACAGACACAATGTTGTGCAACCACTACCTCTAGCTATTTCCGAAAATTTTTCATCCCCTCAAACAGAAGCTCTGTACCCATTAAGCAATAACTTTAATTATTGCCTCCCTGGGTCCCAGACAACCTCTAATCTACTTTCTGTTTCTATGACTTTGCTTATTCTAGGCACCTCACATAAATGGAATGATTCAATATATCTCCTTTTGTGTCTGGCTTATTTCACTTAGCATAATGTTTTCAAGGTACATCCATGCTGTAGCATGAATCAGAACATCATATTTCAAGGCTCGTTAATATTCCATTAAATGTGAATACCACATTTTCTTTATCCATTCTTCTTCTGATGGACAACTGAGTTGTTTTTACCTTTTGGATATTGTAGGTAACGATTAAAACATTTGTGTACAAGTATCTGTTTGAATACCTGCTTTTGATTCTATACCTAGGAATAGAATTACTGTGTAGTGTATATTGGGCATACTGGATATTACTGGGTAAGGTATACTGGATAATTCTATATTTAATTTTTTGAGGAACCACCCAACTGTTTTCCATAGTGACTGTACCATTTTACATTCCCCCCATCAATGCATGTAAAATGCTCATTTTTAAGATGAAGAACCCAAGGGCAACACCAGTGAGACAGCTTGACCACAGACACAGGGAGTCAGCTGAACTGCACAGCTTGACATCAAAAAGCAGGTATCTTGACTCTCAGTGTAGACATACCCTCTTTCCAAGGTTAAATCCACTAAGATTTAAACCACATGATCAGGCAAATGGCTAGAATGTCTACACAAAGACTGAGTAATTACAAATAGATCTCTTGATATATTTAGAAGAAAGAAACTGAGTAAGCTCTAGACTATTTTCTCCATCATAAAATGTGGTTTTCCTTATCCTTTTCTTCCTCAGGCCTAGGTTCTAAAAGAAGATTAGATCATATTTTCTAGTCTGGTACCTAATTATAGGATAGTCAGAAAATGTTTATGATTATCAGAACTACAATTCTAAAATAACAACTTAGCCGGGCACGGTGGCTCAAGCCTGTAATCCTAGCACTTTGGGAGGCCGAGGCGGGTGGATCACGAGGTCGAGAGATCGAGACCATCCTGGTCAACATGGTGAAACCCCGTCACTACTAAAAGTGCAAAAAATTAGCTGGGCATGGTGGCATGTGCCTGTAATCCCAGCTACTCAGGAGGCTGAGGCAGGAGAATTGCCTGACCCCAGGAGGCGGAGGTTGCGGTGAGCCGAGATCGCGCCATTGCACTCCAGCCTGGGTAACAAAGGCGAAACTCCGTCTCAAAAAAAAAAAATAAATAATAAATAAAATAAATAAAATAAAATAAAATAACAACTTAAAAAATTCCTTGAAATGCAATACGCATTTATTTCAGAAAAACTGAAAAACTCAGAAAAGTAGAAAGAAAAAAAAAAAAGATTACCCAGAGAACAGTTAACCAGAAAAATGACTATTAATTTTTACCTTTTTTTCAAGACTTTTTTTTTCTTGGAATGGTGTTTTTGTTTGGTATGTATTATTGGAATTATAAAAGCTTAAAGCTTAAAACTTATTATAATTTTGGAGTGAAATTTAAAAATCACATAAGGAAAAATAGATATTAAGTTCTACATTTTGTTAGTACGGTATTTAGTTAGTACTTCTTCCTACCAAATTACAGCCCTCATAGTCTGGTGACAGTTTTGGGTGGAGTGCTATTACTTACCTTTCCACATGGTAATGTATAATTTATTTAAATATAACACCTGCAGTGGCATGGCCACACACTATACTATTTTGCTTTTTCTTCCATGCCTCATATGATGCCACACATACAACAGATGCTCAGAAAAAAAGGATTTGGATTATTTTTACTGATTTCATGCCATTATTAACGTTAACACCCCTCAGAATCTTCATAGGCAGTAGCCCAACCCAGGCCCCGCAGGGCCATCTTGGCAACTTTCACATTCCAAGAAACTTGGTTTAGTAATCAAAGGTACTTTAAAAGTTATTTGAATCTTTACTTTCATTACTTTAAGAATATTAAACAGAGTTCAACTGGTAACCCATAATAGTATTCTTTTTTATTTTATTTTATTTATTTATTTTTTCAAAGATGGGGTTTCACCATAATGGTCAGGCTGGTCTTGAACTCCTGACCTCAGGTGATCCACCCACCTCGGCCTCCCAAAGTGCTAGGATTACAGGCGTGAGCCACCACGCCTGGCCATAATAGTACTGTATTCTTAAATATTCCTTGGTCCCATTACTCTTTTTTTCTCCCTTTTCTTTTCTCCTTTCATTCTTCTTGCTTCAGTATGTCTCAAGTTCATGACTGACGTAAAAGCCCTAGTCTCAAAATTTCTACCTAAATTATTCTCTCTGAACTTGATGCCTTGTAATTTTTGGATTTTCTTTTCTTTTTTTTTTTTTTTTTGAGAAGGAGTTTCGCTCTTGTTACCCAGGCTGGAGTGCAATGGCAACCTCCGCCTCCTGGGTTCAGGCAATTCTCCTGCCTCAGCCTCCTGAGTAGCTGGGATTACAGGCACACGCCACCATGCCCAGCTAATTTTTTTTTTTTTTTTTTTGTATTTTTAGTAGAGACGGGGTTTCACCATGTTGACCAGGACGGTCTCGATCTCTTGACCTTGTGATCCACCCGCCTCGGCCTCCCAAAGTGCTGGGATTACAGGCTTGAGCCACCACGCCCGGCCCAGATTTTCTTTTCTTACCCTTTCCTTTGACATCTATTCCTTCTCCCTCCCTGCCAGGAAATCACAACCCTTGGCATCATCTTGGTACTCACACTTGTTTCTTCACTCAGCCCTTCTCTCCTCGGTCACTGATTCTGCTCCATGAGCAGTCCGGAAGTGGAGCTGGCAAGCTCAGCCTCTCAGCAGGAGACACAGGAGTCAGGGCTGAAGGGAGGAGAGAGGAGAAGATCACAAATGCTTATCCTGTTATATCCTTTCTTTTATTACCATTACAAAGTGAAATTTAATGTAATACTTATTAGGGGTGGGCTACATGAAAGGTCTCTGGAAAAAATACGTGGGAAAGAGGAAGGGTAAAATAATGAAATTTTCTTTGAGGAGCGAGGACACTGCCTACCCACCCTCCCCTCTTTAGGGTGTCACCTTGAAGACATAACAGTTCTTTTTTTTTTTTTCTTTTTATGGAGAATGGGGTCTCGCTATATAGCCCAGGCAGGTCTTGAACTCCTGGGCTCAAGCTATCCTCCCACCTCTGTCTCCCTAAGTGCTGGGATTATCGGCGTGAGCCACAGCGCCCGGCCAACAACATAATAGTTCTGACCTTTTGATTTTACATGCAAGGTCATGGGCCTTCTGACCTTTGAAACTGTCAACACTTATCTCTGGGATTTTGCTGAGGTCTCTCATAGATATAATGATGGGTGTAATGAGACATCACACAGTATACCCTTTTCTCTCATAGAAATAAGAGCTTTTAATTGTTCTTTTACTTTTCTGTATAAATTTGTGTAAAAATCTCCAACTTTATAGTTGCTTTTGTGTTTTCTTACATGCATGTTATCTCTGATAATGCTTATCCAATATTAAAATTATGTTCTCTCTCTCTTCTGCATTGGGAAAGAGGGTCCTTTTGTTAGAAGGGCTATATTATTTCTCTAACACTATGATGACCCTCCAGAAATCATTTTACCTAGTTAGCTAGAGTTCTTATTTCCTCTCTTTCCTCAGTCCAAGTGTTATAGTAGGTAGCTAGTCAGACATGAGCAGGGCAGGAGAGGACCCCCTGCCCCACTAACCAGGAATGTTAGGCAAGTATCAGGTGATGGTCAAGCAGTTGTTAAAATGGTCTCTCTAAGATAATAATCGGTTGCCGCCAGGGCCAGGGAAAGGCAGTCGCCCAACAGACAAAAAAACCTGAAACCAGTGATCTTCCCAATAAGATCCCAAGAATTGGATGAGTAGGCTCAAGCATGCACACTAAGAGGCAAAATGGTGAAGTTTACCTGGTAGATGACCTCCCTCTAGGAAGGCTAGACTAGTAAGGGAAAAACGTCTCAAGTGAGCATGTGTACAATTCCAGTAAACACAGTGTATGTGTGGCCCATCCCAAATGCCATAGTCCACTGCATAGGCAGACAACACACACCCCCACCCACAGGGGAAGAATCAAGACAGAGGTCATGCAGACCCCAAAAGAATGTCAACATATAAAACTCCAAGTCAATGGTCAAACAGTACACTTAATCTCTCAAGTTGCCGGCTTGGCCCTCTTCCAAGTATACTTTCTTTTTTTTTTTTGAGACGGAGTTTCGCTCTTGTTACCCAGGCTGGAGTGCAATGGCACGATCTCAGCTCACCGCAACCTCCGCCTCCTGGGTTCAGGCAATTCTCCTGCCTCAGCCTCCTGAGTAGCTGGGATTACAGGCACGTGCCACCATGCCCAGCTAATTTTTTGTATTTTTTTAGTAGAGACGGGGTTTCACCATGTTGACCAGGTTGGTCTCGATCTCTTGACCTCGTGATCCACCCGCCTCAGCCTCCCAAAGTGCTGGGATTACAGGCTTGAGCCACCGCGCCCGGCCCAAGTGTACTTTCTTTCATTCCTGCCTTAAAGCTTTTTGATAAAATTTTACTCCTGCTCCCAAACTTGCCGCATTATCTCACTCTGTTTTATGCCCCTTTGTGAAATTCCTTCTTCTGAGGAGGCAAGAGTTGAAGTTGCTGCAGACCCATATGGATTCGCCACTGCCAACACAAGTAATACTCAAAATGCAGCATTCCTGGGTGAGAGTGAACTCAGGGAGCACCCAATAGTGCTTACTTCCCTCTTGATCCATGTAGATACCAATAGATGATCACTGAAATGCTGTATTCAATTTGGCTAACTCTGTTTACATTCCTGAGGGAAGCTGCTATGAGTTTCAGAAATGACTGAAAGATAGTAGGACAGAATTCAAAAAAGGTATGTGAGTATTCCAAGACATGGGATGTGAAACTACCACTCACCCAGTTGCTCAAGTCACAAATTAAAGAGCTTAATTTCACTTTTCCTCAGCCATCATATCCAATTGATGCTACTCTCTATCCACATCCTAAATCCATTCACTTCTTCCATTTTCACCACTTCTACCCAGTTCAAGCCCCCAGCAATAGCCTCATAACTGGTCTGTTTCTACTTTTGTTCCTCTATAGCAGCTGGTGTGATTTCTTTTTTTTCTCTCTTTTTTTTTTTTTTGAGACGGAGTTTTGCCCTTGTTACCCAGGCTGGAGTGCAATGGCACGATCTCGGCTCACCGCAACCTCCGCCTCCTGGGTTCAGGTAATTCTCCTGCCTCAGCCTCCTGAGTAGCCGGGATTATAGGCACGCGCCACCATGCCCAGCTAATTTTTTGTATTTTTAGTAGAGACGAGGTTTCACCATGTTGACCAGGATGGTCTTGATCTCTTGACCTCGTGATCCACCCGCCTCAGCCTCCCAGAGTGCTGGGATTACAGGCTTGAGCCACCGCGCCCGGCCTTTTTTTTCTCTCTTTGAGACAAGAGTCTCGCTTTGTCTCCCAGGCTGGAGCGCAGTGATGCGATCTTGGCTCGCTGCAACCTCCGCCTCCCAGGTTCAAGCAATTATCTGCCTCAGCCTCCTGAGCAGCTGAGATTACAGGCACCTGCCACCAAGGCCAGCTAATTTTTGTACTTTTAATAGAGACGGGAGTTCACCATGTTGGCCAGGCTGGTCTTGAATTCCTGACCTTTTGATATACCCGCCTCGGCCTCCTAAAGTGCTGGGATTACAGGCGTCAGCCACTGCACCCAGCCTCTGGTGTGATGTTTTAAAAAAATATATAAAGCATGGCCGGGCGCGGTGACTCACAACTGTAATCCAAGCACTTTGGAGGCCAAGGCGGGTGGATCACCTGAGGTCGGGAGTTCAAGACCAGCCTGACCAACACGATGAAACCCTGTTTTAAAAAAATATAAAAAGTAAAAAATAAAAAATATATATATAAAGCATAAGGTGACTTGCCAACTCTCACATGACTTCCCATCACATTTTGTTGTATTGTTCCTGTTCCTTCTGTACATCATATTTAAAATAAAATCTAAATTCCTCATCTGAAAAGGCACAGATCTCCCCTTGTACCTCTCTGTTCTTGTTCACTGAGCTTCAGGCTCACTGGCTTTCTTTCTGTTTCCCCAACACACCATGCTGGTTGAAATGTACTTTCCCCCTGGTTTTCACATGGCTCCTTCTAAGGACTCAGTTTAACTGTTACCTATTACAGAGGACTTCCCTGACTACTTATTCTGAAGTCACCACCCAGCTGTTCATCACATTGGTGTGTTTTCTCAGCACCACACTTATTTCTAGTTGTTTCTTGTGTGTGTGTGTATGTATGTATATGTATGTGTGTGTTCAACTGCTCAATTTTTGTTGAATGAATGGACTGGTAAGCCCCACTCCTCCATTTTTTAGATGAGCAGCAGAAAATACTGAGTAGGGGTAAAATATCTAACAACTTTCGGCTGGGCGTGGTGGCTCACGCCTATAATCCCAGCACTTTGGGAGGCCGAGACGGGTGGATCACGAGGTCAAGAGATCGAGACCATCCTGGTCAACATGGTGAAACCCCGTCTCTACTAAAAATACAAAAAAAATTAGCTGGGCATGGTGGCGCATGCCTGTAGTCCCAGCTTCTCGGGAGGCTGAGGCAGGAGAACTGCCTGAACCCAGGAGGCGGAGGTTGCGGTGAGCCGAGATCGCGCCATTGCACTCCAGCCTGGGTAACGACTGAAACTCTGTCTCAAAAAAAAAAAAAAAAAAAAAAAAAAAGAATCTAACAACTTTCATCTTTTTTTAAACTTCTCCACAATAGCAATGTTATCTTTTGTCAATTTCTCTGTCGCGACTGCAATTAAACTTTTGCTATGGAAAGTGACTATGTTCAGAGGCAACAAAGAGGAATGGCCTAGAGACTTGCAACTCACTCCATATGTAGACTTAAAGACATAAGAACACTAAAGGATAGGGCGGAAAGCAGTGACTTTCAACAGAGAAATAAAAGAGGCTGAGTTCCTATAGCCTCCTACAGAGAAGAAACAAAAAAGTCAAAGTATGAGCTGATAAATAACCCGGGACTTAACACTAGAAAGGCCCATGAGGCTTCCTTACATGCCCCTTGCAAAACCTCTGAACTCACATCTCTCCTCTGCCTACTGTCCTCATAGCACAACATAATCCTGCCTAGAACTGACACTGAAAACTCACATAGCCACCTCTCATCAGCTCCCCCACTCCCTTTCTGAGAAATTATCCTTAAAAACTTCAGTCCACACAGAAGTTTTTCTGATCTCATTTCGAAAATCCAACTGCACTGGATTTCATTGTTCTTTGCTTATTTTTTGTTTGTTTGTTTGCTTACTTTTTGAGATAGGCTACCATCATCACTCAGACCGGAATGCAGTAGTGAGATACTGCTCACTGCAGCCTCAACCTCCCAAGCTCAAGTGATCCTCCCACCTCAGCCTCCTGAGTAGCTGGGACCACAGGCACATGCCACCATGCTCGGCTAATTTTTTATTTTTTGCAAAGATGAGATCTCACTATGTTCCCAGGCTGGTCTTAAATTCCTGAGCTCAAACAGTCCTCTTGACTCAGAATCCCAAAGTGCTAGGATTATAGGTGTTAGCCACCATGCCTGGCCTGTTTGGTTCATCTTGGCTTTTAATTGTTTTATTTTTACTTTTGCTCATCTGAATCTAAGAATCCTATAAGTGTTGAACACAAAATAATAAATTTATTTTGATTAATTATATAGATTCATACTCTGTCTGCAGTTTGTACTGTAAAGGAATAAACAAGAAGGAAAAACCTAACAGTGAGGGAAGAAGAAGGTGCAAGAAAATAGGGGCTCTAGAATACAAGGGAA